GTTTGGGTGAAGATATCAATCTTAGTGGTGATGTTAACCTTAGTGGTGATGTCAGCCTTAGTGGTGAAGATGCCATCCTTAAATGGTGAAGATGTCAGCCCAAGTGGTGAAGATATCGGCCTGGTGAAGATGTCAACGTCTGAGGGAGTTTACTTAATAATTTAGAATCAGTAAAATAAGTTTTATATCCTCATTTAATTAAGATTACATTTTCTCTTTACAGAAAATTACCTTTATAAAACAATATCCACTGTGATTCCATCATTGTAGCAGCATAGGAAAATTTGTGCAAGAATGGTATATAATACCGACAAGATGAAATAAAGACACATGTGCAACATCTGGGTATCTTTATTGTAGACGTTTCGCCATCCAGTGGCTTTATCAATACAAATTCCAGGACATAACTGAAGACAGTTATGTCAGACACTGCAACATCATGGAATCTTGATTCTGAGGACATGTACATAACCTTCACGACTACGACAACTACTACTACAACTAACCCATCTCTTTGGGTAGGACCTACTTCCACTGGGGAATCCCGCCTACCAGTGACTATGCCCTCGTCTGCTACACCTGACGTTAGTATATAAGCGCCAGGCTCCTTGCTTCTGCTTCAGAATCTCCACGACTACGGTGCTCTTCGCACCTACTCCTAGGTTGAGGGACTGATTACCTCATCTTCTGTATAGAGTCCTACTGTCTTCAGTTATGTCCTGGAATTTGTATTGATAAAGCCACTGGATGGCGAAACGTCTACAATAAAGATATACCCAGATGTTGCACATGTGTCTTTATTTCATCATAGGAAAATTTCCTGGACTTGACGTAGATACGAAAGAAAACACTGACCTTTAGTTACACTAACTCGCTGTCTTGTTTGGTTGGTTAATTAAGCTTGAAGCTTATCAGGGGACGAAGGTAAATGCTACCCACAAGTAACGGGAGAAAAAAAGACAAAATGGAGCTAGGTAACAGGACACAATGGCAACTAATACGAAATTTTATTGTGGCAACGTTACGCCCTCAGGAGCTTCGTCAAGAGAAACGTTGCAACAATAAAATGTGGTATTAGTTGTACTTGTGTCTTCTTACCTAATATATTGCCAGTAATTTTACCAACATTACTACAAAGTGCAATCGTTTTAGGGCGGAGCATTAAACCCGTAGGGAATTATCCAGCGCCTGGGAGAATGGTAGTCAATCAACAGAGATCAAAGAAAGGGGAGGAAATTGCTCCTTGGATCAAGAACCTCCCTTGAAGGAAGTACACATATAGATTTAATAACATAATAGTTAAACGGTGTGACTAATTTCCATTGGAATCTTTCCCCTCAAAATAATTTTTTTCAACTCTTGCGTATCTTAATTGAATTATCTTCCATTTAAATATTATTTAAATTCTCGTGGATGGTTAATGGTATTTAAAGCTTGTTGACAACACGAAGGTCATTAAGACTGCACGTAACTTTATCACCTTAAGACTGCACGTAACTTTATCACCTTAAGACTGCACGTAACTTTATCACCTTAAGACTGAACGTAACTTTATCACCTTAAGACTGCACGTAACTTTATCACCTTAAGACTGCACGTAACTTTATCACCTTAAGACTGCACGTAACTTTATCACCTTAAGACTGCACGTAACTTTATCACCTTAAGACTGCACGTAACTTTATCACCTTAAGACTGCACGTAATTTTATCACCTTAAGACTGCACGTAACTTTATCACCTTAAGACTGCACGTAACTTTATCACCTTAAGACTGCACGTAACTTTATCACCTTAAGACTGCACGTAACTTTATCACCTTAAGACTGCACGTAACTTATCACCTTAAGACTGCACGTAACTTTATCACCTTAAGACTGCACGTAACTTTATCACCTTAAGACTGCACGTAACTTTATCACCTTAAGACTGCACGTAACTTATCACCTTAAGACTGCACGTAACTTTATCACCTTAAGACTGCACGTAACTTTATCACCTTAAGACTGCACGTAACTTATCACCTTAAGACTGCACGTAATTTTATCACCTTAAGACTGCACATAACTTTATCACCTTAAGACTGCACGTAACTTTATCACCTTAAGACTGCACGTAACTTTATCACCTTAAGACTGCACGTAACTGTATCACCTTAAGACTGAACGTAACTTTATCACCTTAAGACTGCACGTAACTTTATCACCTTAAGACTGCACGTAACTTTATCACCTTAAGACTGCACGTAACTTTATCACCTTAAGACTGCACGTAACTTTATCACCTTAAGACTGCACGTAACTTTATCACCTTAAGACTGCACGTAACTTTATCACCTTAAGACTGCACGTAACTTTATCACCTTAAGACTGAACGTAACTTTATCACCTTAAAATTCTTTCAAGTATTTTGACCCACGGATGATATGAGGTGCGCTAAACCCTTGCGGGTTTAGCGCTTAATTTTGTTTATAATAATAATGGTGTGAGGTGCCTGATTGGTTTATGGATGCAGAGCCATGTTTCCTTTACCATATATGTATTCACCTAGCATTAAGTAGGTACCTGGGTGTCGGCCGACTGGTGTGGGTCGCATCCTGGGCGAGACTGTTAAAGGAGCTAAGTGGAAACATGACAGACATTCCTCGACTAGCGATCGTATTGTAGTCACGAACAGGGGCTAGCACTTACACCCCCATTAACCATCTTATTGTAGTTAGACACGAATACTTACATCCCCATTAACCACTAATCATCTTACTGAGGTTAGTCACGAACGGAGGCTAGCACTTACAGCAAGAACATTAGGAACACAGCCAACACATTCACTAATATCAATGACACTAATGTTGATTCTTGATCCAAGGTGTTAGAACTGCTGTCCTGGGATCAGACCTAAATATTTATCATTCCTTGGGAGGTGTATGATTTCTACTGGCTTAACGCTTCATTATTTGTGTATCGTTCCAGTCACTATTGTGCCTTTTTTTGTTATTCATTATAATAATAATAATAATAATAATAATAATAATAATAATAATAATAATAATAATAATAATAATAATAATAATAATAATAATAATAATAATAATAATAATAATTTAAATTGTAAGCTTCGTGGCTCAGTGGTAAAGCGTTGTGCATACTACTGCAAGGACCTCGGTTCGAGTTCTGTTATTTCACAATAGTACAGATTTTAATTTTTTCAACTCTTGTTCAGACACTCAACAGCGACAAGTCGTTGCAGACTGCACTTCTGAACGATTTGATTGACGACACCACACAGGAGGAGGTTGTCGCTCTCTGCTCCACAGTCATCGAGGAGAGGAAATACAAGGTGAGTCGAGGTCAGGGGTCAGTAGTTTTTAAAAAAATAAAAGGAGTTTACCATAAGAGGCGTATATTGGTCACCTTGGAGCTAGAAATGAGTGCAATTCAAGGACTAGCTAACACGAACTAAGTCCAGGTAAGGGGTAATCTAATTTAATAACAAGCTAAGCCAGGGACTCGATCTCTGTGTCATCTGTCCAATATTAGTGAAGTATCTATAATCTAACACCATTTATAAGAAGGCTCCCTTCCCAAGCCTCAGCTGTACTTTCCGCATGCGCCGCCAGGCATATCTCTTATTCTTATTATAATCAAAAAGAAGCGCTAAACCTACAAGGGTCATACAGCACCCTACACATCTGAACAGTTTAAAAAAAAGTTATTAGAATAGAATAAACTGTTCTGTTCGTAGTTATCCATGTGTATAGTAAAATCAAGCTATTGACATCTTTTGAAATCAAGCTGGTACCTAATAGGACTGGTGGTGGGGATGATGACTTCGACAGTCTGGTGAAGGTGGTATGGGGACATACTTGGTAATCCATTGAGGGTCTGTAATCGTAAAAAAAAGTTCAGTACCCTTGGGCTAGGCTATTGGAGTCAATTTTTTTTCAAGGTCAGGTCAGAATAGGAATTAATAATGACAATGACAGCACAGATTAGGGATCAACTGCATTTTGAGAAGCCAAAAAGTATTGAGTTCAGATCAGAAGTCAACTAGTACGATGTCGGTTTATTTAAAAAAGGTCAACTAATACAGTTCTGTCCACGTTACTTCCGACTGTCATACTAAACTTTTATGCAATATTTCCCGTGTGACCATAGAGAGCAAATAACAAAAAGTGATAATACTTCAAGTTCCTATATGTCTCTAGTCTGTCCAGTAGGGACGATGCAACAGAACAATGCACCATTACTCTGACTTTTTCAGGGATGTTACTACTTTAAGGGTAAAAAGCATATCTTATAATTTTTTCCTTTACTTCAACGATTCTGCCTCTGCTTCCTCCCGGCAGTGTGTGCTTCGGCAGGAAGAATTTATTTATTATAACAGTGTTTAAGGATTGATCTTCCTAACCGCGTTAACCTAGTTGTCTTCTACAGGCGGAGAGAGACAAGACAGTGGCGGGTCTGGTGGAGGAGGTGTTCGTGATGCCTGAGGTGCAGCGTCAGGTCAACCTCAGTGTGTGGTCGCTTCTCTTCGATATCAGCCGCACTCTCCCTCACGAAGAGTACCTCCAACTTAAGAAAAAGGAAGATAGGCTCTTCCTGGATCCAGTGGCCCGTGCGGCGCTGCTCTCCCACGTGCTAGAGGTGAGAGGGCGTGGGTGAGAGGTAAGAGAGGGTGGATGAGTGGTGAGGGAAGGGAAGGTTGCGAGATGGCAGTGGAGGATGAGAGGGGAGGGGGTTAATAAAAGGTGAGAGTTCTTGGTGTGGCGTGTTAGATGTTAAGGCCAAAAACGAGTGTGTGTGTGTAGAGAGAGAGATAGAGAAAGAGAGAGAGAAAGAAAGAAAGAGAGAGAGAGAGAGAGAGAGAGAGAGAGAGAGAGAGAGGGACGTGTCTTGTATTTTTGCTCTCATTAACACATAGTACTAACGTGTTGGTCTCCGGCAGGAAGATAACCGGGTAGAAGGCATGAAGGAGGAGAAGATACTGTCAGAGGTCCCGTGGGACGTGCTAGCCTTCAACTATCACAAGGACCTACAGAAGAAAGCCCTCTCCAGTAACACCGCACTCAAGATGCTGCAGGTAGCTATAGGAGGGAGGGAGGAAGAGGAGGGAGAGAGGAAGAGATTAAGGGAGAAATGGAGGGAGAGGGGTAGTTAGGGAATTGTCAGACCGACACTCGGTATCGCCCTAAATACACCGGTGGCTTAATTAAAATTGATATAATTAAACAGAGCAATTAACTCCATTCGCACCATGGGTTAATGAATGCACTGTTCATCACTGTCCACAAATCACTTAATCACACACCCTTTTCAAAATAATCTTACTCTAATAAAGGGACAAAATAGAAGAGACAGAAGGAATAATGGCTTATTATTATTATTAAAGATTAGCCGGTATTCTCCCGGCCCGGGCCTTTTCCAAGTGGTGGCCCGGCCTTGGCTCCCTCTTTAGGGAGTGTCTGAGACCTAAGTCTCCCATGGGAGGAGGCACAAGTACCTCCTCATCTTTGGGACCAACTGTCCCCAGGCCTAGCCACAAGCTAGGCCTCTCTGGCCTGCCATCCCCGCCCCAAGGGGGCAAATGGGAATGACAGTCTTATGAGCTAAAGGCTCGGACTCAGGCACCTACCCTACCCTAGAAGGGTGTCGATCGAATAATGGCTCACGGAGGAAAAGGTTAGAAAAAATCATGAAATTCATAATTTTCTGAGCACTTCCACTATACAAGAATTTAACCTTGCATTGTTTACAACTTAATTACTATAGTGAATAATGTTCACAAATATCCTTATATAGAAATATTATGGAGAAGGGAAAAGTAGCACAGCTGTAATATTAATATTGTCTTCTGATCTGAAAGGGCTTATCTAAATAAGATGAAAATATTTCCATCTGAAGGACAGACAGAGCGTCTTTCCACAGGCGCGGCTGGTGATACAAGCGGCGAGGGAGGAGATATTTCAGGAAGGTCTACTGGACGCCCTCGAGGAAGACCTTAAGCAAAGAGACGAATATGAGAAGCTCACCACGCCTCCCCGCCAAGGGTAGTCCTGAAATTCCCAAGCAACGCTGACTCCAGTCCTCCTGGAGCAATCTTGCTGGAATAGGTCTACTGGAACGAAATCTTTGATGATCTGGTAGCTACTGAATCCATAGTTGAATGCTTGGCGACATCCTTACCAACGGAAGTCTCCCAGAAGATTTTATTACTTGAGTGACGACACCCATCCTGTGTGTTGAAATATAACAGAGGAACATAGCTAGATTTTGCTCTTACTATGTAACTATCAAGTAAGAGTAGAATAACAACACACTGATGATGTACCCAACTTTGTTTAATAACAAAATATCGTGTTTATCCCCTTTGTGTACAAGTTGTTTAGTGCTACAGTGTAGGATGCCATACGCACACGGGAATACACTTAAAAAAAAATCACAGTACTGTGGTTGGTACATTTAACAATATCACAAATTGGGATTGGAAACCGACTTGATTATGTTCCAGGATGAAATGAAATGCTCTATGTTCAATTGGTGGCGTAGTTAGGGAAGAACAGAAATATAATCTAGGATGGAGCTCTCGATACATTCCCTGACCAATACCATTAATGCAAACTGCGTCCCACGACAACCTTCTCCACGCGTCGAGATTATATATACCGAGAGAGGCGCATCACTCATTGCATAACTGCTAACAATTTACTTTAATCCTTCTGTTAGGGATTGAGGTATCCTTGGCTGGTGGTGTATATCCTTACATGCAGCTTTTAATATACTAGCCAATTCTCATGCATACAAACACCCGTGGTACGCAGGAAAAGTCATAGTCACAGAATGACATACGTATGCTATATTTTTTTTGCGCGATGTCCTCAACCTTTCCTCATATGATTGTGTAATATGCCAACCATAATGACAGCCCCCATTTAAAAGTAACTCCAGCACTGTTAAGAGGAAACCTCTAAATCTGTCGTAGCTTTTGATCCCATGTGAAATGTTTGGTAATATTTTCATTGCCTTACTGGAGCGTCTAGGCTCAAACTGTCAGATTTCATTATTTTTTTTCGAAAACTATCCTGTGTGATAGGATATATCATAATACTCATCTTGTGTAATAAAATATATCTATCCTGTGTGAAGGAGGATAATAACCTGAAAACTATTCTGCGCAATGAGTCTATTTCGTGAACATAATTTTTGCTTTAATCTTGTAAAATGTCATAAAATGTAGCACAAGTTACTTGATCGAAGATATAGATATATCCGAAAGGACACCTTTAATGACTGGCTAAAATTTTTTTATTCCTCTACTATTTTTTTTTTAGTTTATAACCTGAAAACTTGGGAATTGTTTATCCTGTGGATAGAGTGATGCGTACACTGTTCTGTTCTCAAAGGGCTGGGCATGGTGACGCAGAATCGAGTCCTGGCTAGCCGCAGTTCTGTTAATGCTAATATTTATATGTATATATGTGTGTGTTTGTTTGTGTGTGTGGTGTGTGTGTGTGTGTGTGTGTGTGTGTGTGTGTGTGTGTGTGTGTGTGTGTGTGTGTGTGTGTGTGTGTGTGTGTGTGCATGTGAGTTAGCTTCCTGAGGCCTACGTGAGAAGGAATTTTTTATTAATAATTTGTGCCTGTGTTTGGCCTCATATATAACCACGTTACTTTCAGAAGTCGGAACTTTTACATCAAATAATTAGGACAGGCAATAATGAGTACAGGCAACCAAAGATAATCAAACTGTCTGCTGATATAGTAATAATAATAATAATAATAATTATATTATAATTATAATTATTATATAGGGGAAGAGCTAAACACGTAGGGGTTGGGCAGTGCCTGAGGGAATAGAAAGATATCAGGCTCAGTCAAAAGAGAGGTTGAGTCCAATTCCTTGGAGCAAAAGCTGGCCAGTTAGTTACAGGCTCTTGATCCAAGGAACTGGAGCTGCCCTCCTTTTCCTTGACTTTGGTTGCTTTCCATTATCCCCCAAGGCGCTAAAGGTCCCCCTATGGGTTTACCGCTCCTCCCGTGAAACAAATTATATATTACTCGAAAAACGTGTTCGCCCGTCAACATGGCGGAACTGATAAAGCCACGTGACCACAAACTCTACAATAAGCCCTACAGTAAGATAACTTACATGGTCGTTCAAGCAGTGCACAATGCCTATACTTTTTCTCTGGAAGACAGTATACGTTTTTTGAATGAGGTACATTCACAGCATGGGTATGCTTCTTAGTTAATGGAGTTTAAAGCCTATCGATTATACTAAGGTCATTAAGGCTGCACGCAACCTTCACCATCAGACAAGCATATTTTAACCCCTAAAACAGGCAGTAAAAATCTCAACATATATACACACACTGTCAGAAATACGCCTATCGGTGTATATGTCCTGGATGCCCGCTGTCATTTAGGCGGGTCGTCATGTCAGTAAGTTTTGCTCCATGACAAATTATTCTTAACAAGGACCCCAGTGGAAATAAGTCACTTTGTCTGACTTTTTTGGGGGTTATCCTTGGTAATTTAGACTATGTATGATAATTGTACATATGTGTACCTGTGCCTAAATAAACTTACCATCTATCACCACATTTTTGTAGTTCCTTTGAAAATGAGTGCATGAACGCAGGAAAGCTCATGTAACTGAAATTGATTTTTCATTATAGAAGTTGAACATACAGGCAGTCAGGCAGATCCATCAGCACTCTGTTTATATTGTCTACATAAAATTTTCTTGAACAGTACTAGTTTTTCATGCATTTTATTACGCACTGACCTCGTTTTTCTTCTTATGAATATTTAAACACATATTTCGTTTTCTTTCTTTTAACTCGTGACAACGGTATCTCGTTTTCTTGTCGTTTTCAATATACAAATCATGTTTCTTCCATGTGACTTTGTATGTACCTCCCTCACTTTCCTTGCGATTTTCCATGCAATGAACTAGTGTTCATTTTCACCGATCTAATTTTCTTTCTTATCAGTTCCTATTCACTGATTTAGTTTTCTTATTATGGCGTCCTTATCACCGATTTTTCCATTTTTTGTAATTTCCTATGATACTGTTTTCCCCTTGTCTCGCTCTCTCATCAGACCTGAGATCTCTCCTACCGAGGCTTGTTAGTGAACTCCAAGTACAAGCTATTCTCACTCTCGTGTGTGGAGAAGCGGGGTTGTGTAGACTGAGAGGGGTCTCCTTCAGAACCCGATTTGTAATCGTCACTCACATGAGCAGAGCTGAGGTCAGTGGAGGCAGGACCCGGACTCTGAGTTTCTGACGAAGGGTAAAGAAAATGAGTTTGAAACAGTATGAGGGGAAGGGGATTATTGTGTAAAAAACTGTGTAATTTACAGGATAAGATAGGCTGTTGTTCTACCTCGGCTCCTTTACAGGCTACGAGTTGGTATCTTACCTGAGTTCACTTCAAAGCCCGGCCTTATGTGAGGTATATTGTCAACTCCCAACATTCCACCCATAACAGTCCAGTCGGCTAACACCCAGATACCTAATTGCTGCTATTATTGTAATTATTAATTTAATGTCAGGTCAAGCTTTTTTTGTGATAGTGATAGGGAGTGGGCATCGAGGGGGTGACAGTTTGGTATTCTACTGTGACTAAGTCCCACTTACCTCACCCAAATTACTTGCAGGTAATAATTCAGGTAATGCCCTATAAACCTCCTGCAGGTAATTTTCCACAAATATTGCTAATACAGTGGAACCTCAAAATTCAAAAGTATCACATATCGAATGTTTCAAAAATAGAACCCTTTTTTCGAACCAACTCTGTCCCTATTATCGAACGTGCCCCTATTTTCGGACCACCGGGTACCGGACCTGTCCGCCAGCCCACTCTGTCCACGTCCCCACGCAGGCGCCATGAGCCAGTCTGGCTTTGTTTACGCTTGAGTGAACCTGCGCTCTCATTCAAACATTTTATGATTATTTCATTGTGTTTAGTGCTTGTGGGACTGTGAAATAAGCTACCATGGGCCCAAGGAAACTTGCTAGTGGTAGCCCTGTGGTAAAGAAAGTGAGAAACACCATAGATGTGAAGAAGGAAATAATACAGAAGTGGAATGATGTCCAAGTGGAATGATGTCCAAATGTTTGTGGAGAAGTACCACCCTGAGCAAGCTGAAACAAGCCATCTTTGTAACAGGTTCAGTGACAGAACCATGTCCCATTTTAGGGAAATCTTAAAGAGGCACCAGAAACAGAGGACTATGGACAGTTATTTTGTGAGACAGGGGTCCAGTAACTCTCAAGCTGGTCCTAGTGGCATTAAAAGACAGAGAAGAGAAGTAACCCCAGAGAGGGCTTTACCTGAAGTCCTCATGGAGGGGGATTCTCCTTCCAAACACTAACCCCCAACTCCCTCTCTCCTCCTCCCTATCTTCCAGATGCCATCACCAATCTTCAATAAAGGTAAGTAAAAATGTTATTTTATATTTATATACATAATTGAACACTATAGTATTTGTTGTGTGTATGTAAAACTGTAATTAATCTCTATAAAATGTATTTTTTTGTGAATATTTTTGGGTTTCTGGAACGGATTAATTGTATTTCCATTATTTCTTATGGGAAATATTGCTTCGATTTTCAGACTTTTCGAATTTAAAACTAGATCCTGGAACGGATTAAGTTCGAAATTTGAGGTTCCACTGTAGCAATATTACTGATAACATTACTATTATTACTACTACTTCTACTACTAATAATACTAATAGTAATGACAATTTAAAGTTTTAAAATTAATAGACAAATTTGTCCACTCATTAGCCAATAAATATTGAAACCATTCACAAAAGTTACTCAAATATAATGGGATTTAACAGGAATTAAATTTTTATATAATTTTACACATAAAAATGTCAGATGTGCTTCTACACATCTGAATTTCACTCTCCGCCATTGTTTAATTAGGCTGCATCTCTATGGAAGTTTGGAAGCCAATCAGCAAAGGTTTATGGAAGCTGTCAGAGCAATTCCAGGAATCTTGGTACTAGTTCTACAACTTTGGTCATAGGGAACCTGCATATGCCAATTGTTCCAAGAATCTTGTCCTAGTTACCCTATACCAGTTGTGAAAATTTGAAGCAGGCTGGATGAGGCCTTGTGCAAGTGGTAAAGGAAAAATGAAACTTGAAAGGAAGGAAAAAAAATCTGGCAATCACCTAAATTTACCCCTTCGTAAATTTCTAAAGATGCATGAAATTCATCCCTGTGAAGGAACATGACAGTGAAACTTATCTCGCTTTTTCCCACTATGTAATTATTATAGTGTTGTAGACTAAGGTAGGTACACATTGTAAATGCATTTAATCTTTGTAGATTAGAAAAGACGACTCACCTGGTGGTTGGTGCTTATAGTGTACCTGAGGCCTGGGAGCGAGAGTACCTGACGCTTGTCTCCTGAGGCAGACACAGGCGCAGATGATCACCAGCACCACCAGGGCGGCGCCTACAACCACACATGCACACTCCAACTCACGACCATCTGAGCACCAGAAGAGAATAATAATATAATAATATCTTTATTTCTACAAGTACATGTACGAGGTATACAGGCCTATTTGACATCGGTGACATACTGCTACACAGAAAGCCGCTTGCTATGCAGAGCATTTCCGGCAAATTAGGTCAGCTTTGTCTCAGGATGCGACCCACACCGGTCGACTAACATCCAGATACCTATTATTACTGATGGGTGAACAGGGACAACCGGTGTAAGGAAACACCCAATGTTTCTACTCTTGCTGGGAATCGAACCCGGATCCTCACCGTGCAAAGCGAGAGCTTTTGCCACCAGGCCTACTGACCAGGGTGAGGCAATATACCTACAGTCTCACACGAGGTAGAAGTAGAGCTACCAACACATACAAATGCCGTTGGCCTATAGACCTACTCATGGTAGAAATGGGTTTACTGACTTTCGTAAGACAGTAAGCCAACAGACACATGCGAGGTAGTAGGCCTACGCACCTTTGCGAGGCAGTAGGCCTATAGTCCATGTGGGGTAGAAGTAACCCACCCAAGGCACTAAACATCAGACCTACCATAGGTCGAAGTAGGCCTACTGACCCACATGAGATAGGTCAACTGGCCTAAGCAAAAATGGGAAAATAAAAACCATGTGAGTTTGAAGGCCTACTGATCAGCAAGAGGCAGTCAGATCCTATTTACAGCCTACAGTAGGCGTTTACAGTGAAACACATAAGTGAACAGTATTTAGATAAGGCTAAAGAGGTCTTTGTGGCATTTATGGATTTGGAAAAGGCGTATGACAGAGTGGATAGGGGGGCAATGTGGCAGATGTTGCAGGTGTATGGTGTAGGAGGTAGGTTACTGAAAGCAGTAAAGAGTTTTTACGAGGATAGTGAGGCTCAAGTTAGAGTATGTAGGAAAGAGGGAAATTATTTCCCAGTAAAAGTAGGCCTTAGACAAGGATGTGTGATGTCACCGTGGTTGTTTAATATATTTATAGATGGGGTTGTAAGAGAAGTAAATGCGAGGGTCTTGGCAAGAGGCGTGGAGTTAAAAGATAAAGAATCACACACAAAGTGGGAGTTGTCACAGCTGCTCTTTGCTGATGACACTGTGCTCTTGGGAGATTCTGAAGAGAAGTTGCAGAGATTGGTGGATGAATTTGGTAGGGAATGCAAAAGAAAAAAATTAAAAGTGAATACAGGAAAGAGTAAGGTTATGAGGATAACAAAAAGATTAGGTGATGAAAGATTACATATCAGATTGGAGGGAGAGAGTATGGAGGAGGTGAATGTATTCAGATATTTGGGAGTGGACGTGTCAGCGGATGGGTCTATGAAAGATGAGGTGAATCATAAAATTGATGAGGGGAAAAGGGTGAGTGGTGCACTTAGGAGTCTGTGGAGACAAAGAACTTTGTCCTTGGAGGCAAAGAGGGGAATGTATGAGAGTATAGTTTTACCAACGCTCTTATATGGGTGTGAAGCATGGGTGATGAATGTTGCAGCGAGGAGAAGGCTGGAGGCAGTGGAGATGTCATGTCTGAGGGTAATGTGTGGTGTGAATATAATGCAGAGAATTCGTAGTTTGGAAATTAGGAGGAGGTGCGGGATTACCAAAACTGTTGTCCAGAGGGCTGAGGAAGGGTTGTTGAGATGGTTCGGACATGTAGAGAGAATGGAGCGAAACAGAATGACTTCAAGAGTGTATCAGTCTGTAGTGGAAGGAAGGCGGGGTAGGGGTCGGCCTAGGAAAGGTTGGAGGGAGGGGGTAAAGGAGGTTTTGTGTGCGAGGGGCTTGGACTTCCAGCAGGCATGCGTGAGCGTGTTTGATAGGAGTAAATGGAGACAAATGGTTTTTAATACTTGACGTGCTGTTGGAGTGTGAGCAAAGTAACATTTATGAAGGGGTTCAGGGAAAGCGGCAGGCCGGACTTGAGTCCTGGAGATGGGAAGTACAGTGCCTGCACTCTGAAGGAGGGGTGTTAATGATGCAGTTTAAAAACTGTAGTGTAAAGCACCCTTCTGGCAAGACAGTGATGGAGTGAATGATGGTGAAAGTTTTTCTTTTTCGAGCCACCCTGCCTTGGTGGGAATCGGCCAGTGTGATAATAATAAAAATAAGTAGGCTGTAAATAGGATCTGGTAAGTTGCACATAACGTAGGCTACATTATGAGCAACTTAGCAACTCCTGATCCAAGGAACTGGATCTAATCTCTTCGGGGTTGCTCCTCAAGCACCTTCCCTTCTCCAGGCGCTATAATGACTTGCGAGTTTAGTGCTTGCTCATGATACTATAAAAATTACAGCTATTTCCTGAAATAATCAGTGTTAGGATAAGATACGCATGGTAGAGGCTAGACATTAAACATTACTAGGATCAAAGAATTTAGAGCAAACTAAAGCAATATATATATATATTATATATATATATATATATATATATATATATATATATATATATATATATATATATATATATATATATATATATATATATATATATACACACACACACACATATATATGTCTTCTTGTTTACAACACTTCCTCAAATTTCGAGATATCCTGTTGAGATACGGGGTTACAAAACTTGCGTCATACTCCGGTTGATATACTCCAGCTTTATCAATTTGTTTATGAGTATTTATGCCTATACGTATGTAATATATATATATATATATATATATATATATATATATATATATATATATATATATATATATATATATATATATATATATATATATATATATATATATATATGCCAAATACATGTATGTATACCTGCCTGTATGTGTATCCGCACGGAAATGTTAATTGATCTATTACAACTGTCACGGAAAATGTTCAAGAAAGAAACTGATGAGCTGATTACATTTAACTACTTTTTTAAGAAAGCATTTTATAAGTAACTGAGTTACTGCCTTGGAAGCTGTAAAATATAGAAAGAGTAAAAAAAAAGGCAAATTATTACAATGGATGAGACCTCTTGATCCTCGTGGGGAGACAATAGTGAGGTACCACAAGGATCCATGCTTACCTCAACAATCAGTGCCGAATTTACCTATAAGCTTGGCAAGCTGAAGCTTAGGGCCTCAAAATCTAGGAGGCCTCCAGCCAAGGTGTGTAGGCCAAGGTCATAGGCCTTTGTTACACATGCTAACAACGCACTGTAGTCTCTGAACAACCCTTCTGTAATGTTCCTTGCACTCCGTTTTAGACTAATACTCTCTTAAGCCAATAACTCGACACTAGCATTGATTTCTGTATTGATTTTGTCCTTCCAGGAAAGCAGTGAAATAGATAAGTTGACTAAGGCTCTCAGTCATTTGTACTCTGATGTTAATAAGAAGGGTGATACCACCAGGCTTCAAGCTAACAATGGAATGGAAGAAAGGGAAATTTGTGTTTATGCTGCATTTTTGGTCATTTTCACAAGGCCGTTCAGAAATCAAAACTGTTATTGAGTACTTGTGTATGTTTGTAGAGTTCAATTAAGGACCATAATATCTCAGGATAGGTTTTTCCGAACTGATCATTCTATGCAGTGAGAATGACTAACTTAGACAAATTCTGATGAACTTTTGGATGATTTAGCTATGATGAAGGCTAGGAAAAGGTTTTTTATTCTTAGTGTATAGAATGATTGTATTTTCTTTATTTCTTAATATGTATTTTAAAAGAATATATGTACTTTAAAGAATATAACAGTAAACCTGCAATTTCATTTTCCTAAAAATTCTTCATTCCACAAAATATTTACGAAGCTCGGTCATTGTAAAAGTTTTTCACAATGTTAATTTTAACATTTATGCTTTTTCAACATCGACACCATGCCCAGCCCTTCTAGGGTAGGGTAGGTGCCTGAGCCCGAGCTTGTAGCTCACAAGACTGCCATTCCCATTCGGCCCCTTGAGGCGGGGATGGCAGACCAGAGAGGCCTAGCTTGTGGCTAGGCCTGGGGACAGTTGGCCCCAAAGATGAGGGAGTACTTGTGCCTCCTCCCATGGGAGACTTAGGTCTCAGACACTCCCCAGACAGGGAGCCAAGGCCGGGCCACCACTTGGAAAAGGCCCGGGCCGGGAGAATACCGGCGAATCTTTTATAATAATAAATAATAATGCTTTTTCAATCATTACTGTATTTAACAATAACATCTTATGTCCTTAAGAGGATGAACTGTGAATTGCGGAATTTTAAACACCCGTCATCATCCTCGGCTTCACTGAATTGTGTAAAAGAGTCTTCCATCTTCCTGTAGCGGTGAGGCTGGAAGACTGGAAGGATCCTCGTAAGTGGAATAGCCTCGGACCTCCCTTCATCCGGCACTATCAATAATGTATTAATTTCAATAAACGACTTACCAGGAGGAGTGAAAATCTGTGAATATGTTTGTGGATGATGCTTTAAAAATCTAAGGTGTATATCAGACAATAAAAATGACTGTAACTCACTAAAGGATAAATAAATGGAGTGACAGATGGATTATATAATTTAACGTGCTACTGCCATATAACAGAAAAGCAAGAGAGTGATATAGGCCATATGAAGAATTAGGTCAGTGTAACAATGCACTGAAAGTATCAAACAGATAGAGGGATCTGAGCTATTATTAAAAATTATCACAGGAAGATCATGAAATTGTGAGAACCTAATGTGGTACAATGGCAATCCATAAAATAAGTTTCGCACACGAGCGGCCTGGTCACGGACCAGGCTGCGGGGGCTTTGACCCCCCGAAAACCCCTCCATGTATATTCATCCAGGTATACACACACGCACACGCACATATATAGACAGATACAAAGATATAGGGAGAAATGGGAAAACCTACACAAGTGAAATATCCGGTAGTAGTATAGCGAGTCTCAAGCTTCAAGGAAAACTTGAAGTTTATATATAAAAAGTCCACATAGGAACTACAAAGTGGTTACCAAGAGCTGGAAAAATGTGAGTTATGGTGACAGGTTATTACGAAAGGTGCCCATGAAAAGAGTAGGTGGGGGTGGGGGAGGAGATATGATGATTACATATGAAGTTAAAAGGACATGAAAGAGTAGATAAATAAACTTTTTTTTTTAATACCCGAAACATCAACAAGAAGAAACCACATTTATAAACTATGGAAAAAAGTAGAGCAGAAGGGACACGAGAATGTTTTTTTTTTTAACAGAATGGTAGACCAACAGAATAAATTAAAACAGGAAGTAGTATGAGTTAGATCCATTGGAAATTATAATATGGCAAAAAAAAAAAATGAATGAAGAAAGGATGCCATGGGCATAACTATGTACCTGTAACTATAAACAGGAAATAACAACAAAAAAAAAAAACAATTACACACAGAAACACCAGTACTAGAATACCATCAATAAGCTCTCATGCAACACAGCTGGTAAGAACCAGGTAACACATACCAGTTGTACAAGCAGAGAAAACAGGATCGCCAGCGAACGACATTACTCCAAGGATGTGTGTTTCACACTATCGTTACCACCAACGTGTTCCCAGAACAACAAGCTATCAGCAAGGACTTCCGTTGATATATATATATATATAATATACATATATATATATATATATATATATATATATATATATATTATATATATATATATTATATATTTATATATCATTAACAACACTGCACTACCCAAGGACTCAAACCCATGCTGCTTTGGCTTGCCTCATGGTGGGCGAAAACGCATGATGCTCTAATCCACTGGACCATACGATCCTTAGGGCGTCAAGCGTTTTCGCCCACCATGAGGCAGGCCAAAGCAGCATGGGTTCGAGTCCTTGGCTAGTGCAGTATTGTTATTGATCAATACCACTTGTTCGTGGTCACAATTATATATATATATATATATCCCCTATAATTTTTGCACTCTCTTTTATCCCCTTTGCCTTTATACAAAGGAACTATGCATGCTCTCTACCTAGGGATTGGCAGAGAGCATGCATAGTTCCTTTGTATAAAGGCAAAGGGGATAAAAGAGAGTGCAAAAATTATAGGGGGATAAGTCTGTTGAGTGTACCTGGTAAAGTGTATGGTAGAGTTATAATTGAAAGAATTAAGAGTAAGACGGAGAATAGGATAGCAGATGAACAAGGAGGCTTTAGGAAAGGTAGGGGGTGTGTGGACCAGGTGTTTACAGTGAAACATATAAGTGAACAGTATTTAGATAAGGCTAAAGAGGTCTTTGTGGCATTTATGGATTTGGAAAGGCGTTATGACAGGGTGGATAGGGGGGCAATGTGGCAGATGTTGCAAGTGTATGGTGTAGGAGGTAGGTTACTGAAAGCAGTGAAGAGTTTTTACGAGGATAGTGAGGCTCAAGTTAGAGTATGTAGGAAAGAGGGAAATTTTTTCCCAGTAAAAGTAGGCCTTAGACAAGGATGTGTGATGTCACCGTGGTTGTTTAATATATTTATAGATGGGGTTGTAAGAGAAGTAAATGCGAGGGTCTTGGCAAGAGGCGTGGAGTTAAAAGATAAAGAATCACACACAAAGTGGGAGTTGTCACAGCTGCTCTTTGCTGATGACACTGTGCTCTTGGGAGATTCTGAAGAGAAGTTGCAGAGATTGGTGGATGAATTTGGTAGGGTGTGCAAAAGAAGAAAATTAAAGGTGAATACAGGAAAGAGTAAGGTTATGAGGATAACAAAAAGATTAGGTGATGAAAGATTGAATATCAGATTGGAGGGAGAGAGTATGGAGGAGGTGAACGTATTCAGATATTTGGGAGTGGACGTGTCAGCGGATGGGTCTATGAAAGATGAGGTGAATCATAGAATTGATGAGGGAAAAAGAGTGAGTGGAGCACTTAGGAGTCTGTGGAGACAAAGAACTTTGTCCTTGGAGGCAAAGAGGGGAATGTATGAGAGTATAGTTTTACCAACGCTCTTATATGGGTGTGAAGCGTGGGTGATGAATGTTGCAGCGAGGAGAAGGCTGGAGGCAGTGGAGATGTCATGTCTGAGGGCAATGTGTGGTGTGAATATAATGCAGAGAATTCGTAGTTTGGAAGTTAGGAGGAGGTGCGGGATTACCAAAACTGTTGTCCAGAGGGCTGAGGAAGGGTTGTTGAGGTGGTTCGGACATGTAGAGAGAATGGAGCGAAACAGAATGACTTCAAGAGTGTATCAGTCTGTAGTGGAAGGAAGGCGGGGTAGGGGTCGGCCTAGGAAGGGTTGGAGGGAGGGGGTAAAGGAGGTTTTGTGTGCGAGGGGCTTGGACTTCCAGCAGGCATGCGTGAGCGTGTTTGATAGGAGTGAATGGAGACAAATGGTTTTTAATACTTGACGTGCTGTTGGAGTGTGAGCAAAGTAACATTTATGAAGGGGTTCAGGGAAAGCGGCAGGCCGGACTTGAGTCCTGGAGATGGGAAGTACAGTGCCTGCACTCTGAAGGAGGGGTGTTAATGTTGCAGTTTAAAAACTGTAGTGTAAAGCACCCTTCTGGCAAGACAGTGATGGAGTGAATGATGGTGAAAGTTTTTCTTTTTCGGGCCACCCTGCCTTGGTGGGAATCGGCCGGTGTGATAATAAAAAATAAATATATATATATATATATATATATATATATATATATATATATATATATATATATATATATATATATATATATATATATAATATAATTATATTCAAAGCTCAGGAAGCAGAGAGAGGACCTAGTAGCGATCAGTGAAGAGACGGGGCCAGGAGCTGAGTCTCGACCCCTGCAACCACAATTAGGTGAGTACACACACAATATTATTTAATACAAATTATTTGTATAAACTGATATTTATAGCAATTCCGAAATATGAAATATTCCAATTCGAGAATTAATACGTATAAAAGCGTCTCACTCTGCCCTGACAGAGATGTATTGACAGGAATACAAACAAATCACGGAACGAGTGGAAATAAATCACTTTATCTGGCCTATGGGTTATCTAGGTTATTAACACATATAACATTATGCACAACAACCATTGTGAAAAAAGTGAAATTACAAGGCTTTAAGGGCTAAAATAACACTTCACTGTCACCTCTGAAATTACATCCTTCCCAATATAATGCGGGTGAGATAATCGAGGACTTGTCCTACCTATACTTTGCATATTGTGATATTACCTGTTTACTGTTATCCTATTGCATATGTTACTATGTATGATAATTTGTTTAACTGTATTTATGCGTAGTACCTAAATAAACGTACTAACCCATGAGTTCAATCCCCCACTCGTTCCATGATTCATCAATAATAAACTTTCCCTGTTTTCCTCCCGGGAGGGCATGTCCTCAGTGGCAGTACACATGCCCCTCTGGGCAGGTGTCTGGGACACCATACTTTGGTTCCTTTCTTTTTTACGAGGGTAGAAACATTGGGAGTGTTTCTGTGGAAATTTATTTGGTCCCCAAAGTTCCACAGGACAGATACGACGTACGAAGGGGTCCCAGCATAGCCATAATGGGACGGCTGAGCTGGGTGGCCCTTAAACCCTCCCAAACAAACAGCATTCTCTCTAGTTGGTGGGGATTGTTGGTGAGCTTATTTAATTTATAGATTTACCCTTCAGGGAAGGAGTAGGTAGTTTTACTGGTAGTACACTAATATTAGGATTATTGAGGCAACTGTAGATAATAATATTGTAGACCTAAGACCTTAACATAGGTAGTAATAGGCCGATAATGTAGGCAAACACTAGGTTAAGTTAGCTAGGGAGAACTGGCAGCCCTAGCTTGAATGACGAGGCGCAGGTCTCAAAGACACAATAGCGTTCTTCTTAAGACAGACACCAACTGGACAAGACATGCCGTGATCAGCAGACGGCGCCCCCCACGTGTCTTCACATTTGAGACCTGGGGAAATCTGATAGAGGCACCTCAATGTACTGTAGATGACCTCCGTCAAGCCCATACAGTAAGACAAGACCTCCACTTTATCTCGTAGATTTCTGGCCAGTGTCTGGGGAGATTGTGAGTGAGTTTGATCTGTGGGCCCAGTGTGCAACAGGCAGTGCATGCCCAGTAAGTACTAGTGTCTCAGGGCAGTCTGGAAGCTAGTGTCCGTGTCTGCATAGTTGTACTAGGGGATACATACCCTCTTGGATATAGGGATTTCTGAGGTGCAGGCAGGACACTAATAACGATTGAATATTGCAGGAATTAAGGCTCCTGGTTGCACGTGGTTTCTGAGGGGAAGTCCAGAGGGGCTAAGGCTAAGCTTAGGGAAGTTGAAGATCAGGATATATACTGCAACACCAAGTAAGTTAGTCCTTCATACGTGCATGCAGGCGAGTTTCTTGCAACATCAATCATTTGTGAAAATCTGTCCTATAAGCCACTTGTGAGGCTGAGGTACCCACCTCAGAGCTCGGTGTCAACAGAGTTTGCCAGGGTAGGCGACTCACTTGGAGGCAGTCCACACAAATTTTCACAAAAAGTGGTCCTTCGAACCGGATGTGGAATAGCTAGGTTAAGCTATCATAGCTAGGCCACAGTTAGGAACCAGTTTAACAAAGTTAGGTTAAGTTAGCACTCCTAGGCCCAAAGTTACACAGAGCTAGGCCAAGCTGACTATACACAGAAGTTGTTATTTGCAGTAATTTACAGGCAGGCCAGGTAGACTAGAGAAGCTTGTGAATTTAATTATTTACAGTGATTACAAGTAATCCAGAGTAGGAGACTTGTGTGTTAATTACTTACAGTGGATTTGCAAGGTAGCCACAGTTAGGCTAGGCTTGTGCAATATTTACAACAGTTATAGTAGCTAGGCCAGATTTAACCTAGTTATTATTTACAGGGAGTTATAAAGCCAGGTTTAAGCTATAGCACACTAGCTAGGTTAGGATTTACCTTATCCAACCATCCATGCTAGACAGAGTAAACTGGGCAGTTAGGCCAAGCTGTTTACATACATTATTCATTTACTGTTTCACAAGTTGATTTGTTGAATTTATTTGTGTTAACCAAATGATTTTAATTTGTATACTGCACTTTTTATTGTGTGATTTTCATTGTCTTTGATTCATTTTAATGTGGGATTTGTGAATTGTACCTGAGACTAGGTTAAGTCCTGTAATTATTTGCTGGCATTGTACAGGAAAGTGCTAGGTTAAGCTTTCACATCGATACACATTTTGATTGGGATTTGAGAGCTAACAGTGTACATTTTAAGTCAGAGTAGAGTCAATATAACAAAGGGAATTGTTAAGCTTGTTGAGAAGCCTTGAGACTCGTTCATTCCTACCTAACACCGTGACGTGCTGTGGGGTGGACTGGGTAAAGTACAATTAGTGTCACACTCCTCATTAAACTTCGACAATGGCAGATGGGGGTTCAGGAGAGTCTGGTTCAGTGTTAACAAAATTAAAACGATCAGTAGCGGCATACAAAGGGCATCTGAACAGAACATGTAACAGGTGCAAGGCTACTTGCCAACGCAGTAACGTAGACTGCGATGATTTGCAAGACTGCTTGAAGAGTTTGGGGGAAAAATGGGAAGCCTATGAACAAGC